TATATAAACAAGAGAAATCTTGGGGGAGAAATTAGGCGGGGATAAGCTTCATAACTCTGGAATGCTGAGTCTTAGCTTTTCATGGTTTGGTATTTCATCATTTCTCTTCTCCTTTGAGCAAAACAAAAGCTAATCTCTGTTGTTATTTAAGCAAATCATCCTCAGTCTGGTGCATTCAGATACTTTAATCACCACCTTCGGGTTGAATCGGGCACTTTCGTTTTAGCAGTGCAGTTTACCCTGTCATTGAAAGAACTCTCAGCTATCCCAGAGGTATCGTTTAAAAGTCTTTTTATCTGAATCTGTTTGCAAATCTGCTGCGCTGACATTTAATGCAATATTTTTCCCTGAAGATTTCTGCGAAAACAGTCATGTTTACATGTTAACATTATAAAAAACAATTATTCATTAACTAATCTCAATATTTGTAAAACTAACTATGAATTGTAGCCATTTTTTATGTTTTCTAAGGTCAACGGACTATGGCAGCCATCTTGAATCAAATAATTTTAAATTAATTAGTTGTTGATCTACTTCAATGGATTATTTTTTGTGTTTCATCTGTCCTGCGCAATAACAGATAGATTATATAACACTGTTCTGCCAAGGGGGCTGGTAAGGGGGACCCTTATAGGTAGGGTCTTTACCCCGACTGCCTCCCCCTTGTTTGCACCCCTGAAATATGAGGGATAAAGATGTAGATTTATTCTGGAATAGATGCCTCAGCTTGAGGACATACACAGCAAACACAGAAGATCAATATGAGKCTTTTATTGGCACAAGTTAGATTTTTGTTTTTCTTGGTTGCTCAAACCTGGACCTGGAGCAGAGGGCTGTCATCTAACACAATCCGGGAAATAGCTGGGGGSGTTAAGGGCCTTGCTCAAGGGCACAGAGTGGGGTAAATGAGGGTGGAGGCAGGTGTTCACCTTTCCCACCCACRTCTTTGTTTGTCAGTCCGAGTGTGATGTTTTGTAGCATTCTGTCCYGGATTCTGTCTCACCATAGCCAATCTTTAATTTGTGATTATTAATGTTACATCAACGTAACATTCGGTTCTTCTCTACCCTTTATTCTGTTCTCCTGCTTTCAGGGATGGTTTATTATTATTATTATTATTATTATTATTATTTATTTATCTATTTTTTTTGCTAGCCTTTAACCTCTTCTTTTCCCTTGAGGTATCCATGTTTGCTTTGGGGGGGGGGGGGGGTAGAGGGGGAGAGCTGGTGTGAACTTACTCTGTGAGCGACTTTTCAAAGACTCACCTTGTTGCGTCCAAATCTGCGTCGTGAGCCAAACTTCAGAAAGTGAAATTCAGTCCTGAACCTCTCTTCACTGCAGCTTCTTTTCTCTTACATTTCTTGTGACCTAAAAGTAGCAAGACAAAAATATTTTCATCCTCTAAATCACATTTTAATTATTGTGTCACCTCTTTGCTTGTCACCATCTGATTATTTTGGTTGAAATCAATTGCTTAGACTCAGATGTGGATCTTTTTAAGCTACCATGTGTTTCTTGGTTCCACATGGACCATTCCTTTTTTTTTTTTTTTGTGCATTGAGTCATCCTGAGTGTCAGGTAAGACTTTAGGCAGTGTGTGGGAGTCCGTTACCCTCCTCTGGAAAATGGCAGAACTGCAGGTCCCATCAGATCCCTGAACATGAAAGGGCTGCTGGAGTGAATTATTACAACTAGAGAACCAGACCAGAAGCTTTTAATGAGATGACTCAAAACCAGGAAATCATAAAACTTTACTGTTTATTTGCTTGTTCATTATTCTTTTTTTAAATTTATTGTTGTCGCAACAGAAAACAATGGTGCAAATAGATTTTACTCATGAGGTTGTCAGTATTTTTTAAACAAACTGAGATTTCCATCACTTGTGATTTTGAATGTTTTAAAGTCACCTCAGAAAAACTGGTTACTGCCAAATCAAACAAAGGTTTTTGGGCTAGTTTCTCTAGAAAATGTTAAATAAAATGTATTTTAATTTGAACATTGTTAATCTAGACAAATATGAGGTTACCTTTGAACCTTATATTGTCACAAAACTTATCTTTAATGTAAATAAATAAGTTCAATAAACGCTAAATACTAAAAAAAAAAGTTTGTTGCTGCCATTTCTGTGATAAGCAGCTGTGTCTCAACAACATGAGCATTTATTTTGAGGCTATAGGCTTCTATTTTTGACATTTTGCTTCCATCTAGTGGTGACATTTTAAAGCTTTATTTACATCCGTCTGATTTTCWTCTTAAAACTGCAACATTTATGCATTTAAAAAGTAACATTTTCAAACTGTTTGTGCAAAACAAAAGTTAATAACAAATAAGCCGAAACAAACAGAGCTGACACTACTGTGACCTAATGAGTAAATGACTAGCAACAAAGCAGGTGTGCTGATTTGCTAATGTGAATCAGGTGTGGAGGGGGAGCAGCTTTATTCTGCAGTACTTTGCTGCTAACAACGAATGTGACAATCAATCCTTGCTGAAAAGAAGAGTACATGCCTAAAGAGTTAATAACCTATTTATTAAACAAGTCAAATAACACTTTAATCTTTTTGTTGCATGACGATTTTTACATGTAAATTCTTTGCAATTATGGTTTCTGTTCACTGTGAAAAGAGGCTAAAAAGTTTTAATTTGAATAATTCATTTCCTTCCACTTAAATAAATTAAATGGTAAATGTCTTCGACTTATATAGCGCCTTATCAAGTCCATGTGGACCCCTAGGCTCCCCTAACCACCCCCACTACAGCCGCCTACAAACTATAAACTGCTAAAACTCTGATACATTTTAATAGAAGGAATGCAAAACATGAATTTTTCCTTTACTAAATTCAACAGTGTACTAATGCAAATTTTTAATTTTCTGTGAATGCCAATGCTGCTTTTTAAAACAGTCTTCACATGACAAACTGCACACTGATCCTTAAAAATAACTTTCATGCAGATTACTCTGCATTTAAGTCTTTTTTTATTTATTGAAAATAGAGTAACAATTTTGTTCTTTCTAGTATTTTAGAAATGGTTTTACTGGATGACAAGAAAATAACTTCCTTTTGGGACAAATGTTACTTTTTTTTCATTTACACTTGTAAATTTTTCACTCACTCCTGGTGTTTTTTTTTCTCAGACAGAGACAGAAACACGAAATGAACTGGACTATGGCTACCCACCAAAGGAGGAGGAGGAGGAAGAGGAAGAGGAAGCAGAGGAGCATGTAGGAGAGGGAGAAGAGGAGGAGGGAGCAGAGGAGCACATAGAAGAGGGGGAAGAGGAGGAGGGAGCAGAGGAGCACGCAGAAGAGGGGGAAGGAGAAGAGCACGGAGAAACTGAGGAAGGAGCAGAGGAGCACGTAGAAGAAGGGGAAGCGGAGGAGCATGTCGAAGAAGAGCAGCCCCTAAAACCCCAACWCATCCCCCAGGGTTCTGGGGGTTCTGGTGTCCTCATGGGCCCAGACACACAAAAAGGTCTGAAAAAGCACAAAAAAATTAGATSTGTACTTAAACAGAATGGTGCTTAGTTAAAAGTGCACTTCTTTTAGCTTGTGGTTGTAAAAGCAGCTGTAACACCAAAAACACCACTTGTGTGTCCTCTAAATCCATCATGATCCCATCTTTCATAAGCATGTCATCCATTTACCAGTTAATGGTTAAATGTGTCGTGTTCATTGTGTCTGTTTGTGTCTGTTGTAACCTAATCATCACTGTGTGCCCCAAACCTGATTAATGATCTGTTTCAGTCTCTTCTATCTGTTTATCACTACCTCATCTTGTCTCTAACAAGAGGTGGAGCTGCATCAGACGTCTGTTGATACTCTTCATGTCTCCGGGGATTTTGGTGGCTCCGTGGGGTCAGAAGCCTCGGGAGCTTCCGGAGCCTCTGGGTCTGGAGGCTCAGGGGACATGCTGGTCTCTGGAGCCTCTGGGAGCTCGGGTGATATTATCCTCATGTCCGGAGCCTCCGAAGAGCTGATTAGTTCTGAAGGATCCGGGGAATTCTTATCTGGAGACGTCCAGATATCTGGGTATTTTCCAGGATCTGGAGATTTAATTGGATCGGGATCCGGAGATTTAATCGGATCGGGATCCGGAGATTTAATCGGATCGGGATCCGGAGATTTAATCGGATCGGGATCCGGAGATTTAATTGGATCAGGATCCGGAGTTTTAATTGGATCGGGATCCGGAGATTTAATTGGATTGGGATCCGGAGATTTAATTGGATCGGGATCCGGAGATTTAATTGGATCGGGATCCGGAGATTTAATCGGATCAGGATCTGGAGATATAATCAGATCAGGATCTGGAGATATAATCGGATCAGGATCCGGAGATACCACTGAATCTGATGGTTCTGTTGTTTCCGGAGATGTTGCCTCTGGAGAATATGAGGTTGTCACAGAACTCCCAATTGGCTCTGGAGGATCCGGGGACCAGTCTGGTTCTGGGTTTTCCGGAGATCTTTTAATCTCAGGGGGCTCTGGAATCTCTGGGGTTTCTGGAGACTCTGCTGAATCTGGTCAATCAGGGATAACTTTAATATCTGGAGGTCAGTACCCTCAAAAAGTTTTTAGTAAAACTTGAGAGCATTTTTCCTTTCTGTATTAAAAACTTATCGTTTTTGTGATTTCATGTCTTAAAATCCATTTAACTTCAAATGTGGTTAAATGTTGATAACCATTAGTGCTAAACAATGTCATTGTATTTATGTTCTCCCATAATTGTGCCTTTCTAACATCCCGTCTCATCTAAAATGTGTGTGATTGTCCTTAATGTTTCACTTCCTAACACCAACCCTTGGCTTTAACAAGAGGAGGAGCGGCCCTTCATTACTGAAACTGGTCCCCAAGAAGCATCGGGTATTTCTGGGGAGATCTCTGGAGCTTCGGGAATCTCTGGGGCTTCAGGGGATATTGACACTTCTGGAGGTTTAGAGGTCTCTGGAACCTCAGGGATGTCTGGTGTCTCTGGTTCTGGAGACATTGGTGTCCCTGAGGTAGTAACTCTACTCCCTGAACCCGAAGGTCAGTACTGAATTTGGACCTTGTTTGTGTCACATTAAAATACCCGTGACATCAAATTTTTCTGATAAATACAAATGCATTTTTGGTAAGATACCTTTAAATAAAAATAAAAAAATAAAATAAGTCATGCTGTTGAGATGAACAGTTGGGATAGTCGCATGCACAACAGAAAGTGTTGACAAAGGGGAACGTCTGTCATTTTCCTTTAACCAACATTCATAAATGCAAAAAAATCCATATTATTAACGCTGCTTAAAGTCTTTACTTCGGCAAACAGTTGGCTGCTGATTGCCAGACTTCCTGTCCTGTGTTCATGTTGGTCTAACCTCTTCCTTTAACACCTAATCTTGTCTCTAACAAGAGGAGGAGCTGCTTCCAACCACACCAGAACCCTCTCAGGAGGGAAAAACCAGTATAGAGGAGACAGTGAGCTCTGGTGAGCCAGAGGAGCCTGATGAGGAAGTGGTTGACGCAAAAGGTCAGTACTAAGCAGTGCCCTTTGGAAAGCCTAGGATCCTGCATTCAGAGTATTTTCTATACATTTAATTTTTGCCAGACATAAGACACTCCATAGACGGAACCAACACTTTGTCTCTTGCTAGTTGAGATGTAGTCCTATTTTCCTACTTTGCATGATTTCCTATTACGGTAGTTGTTAAATTGGCAGTACAAAAGTTAAGGCGTTCGACCAAATGGATTGCAGCCTAAGTCTCTGAGAAAGGTTGACATTAGGAACCTTCCTGTTCTTACTATTTTTAAATCTTACCTCATTTCTCCTCTTTTTTTTTTGTCATTGTCCTCCATGCGTTTCAGGTATGCCCGTCTGCTTGCTGTGCACGTGCCTCGGAGGTTCCGTCTACTGTGACGACTTGAAGCTGGACGGCGTTCCACCGCTGCCCAAAGACACCACTCACTTCTACGCTCGCTACAACAAAATCACAAAGATCAACAAGTCCGACTTCGCCAACATGAGTACGTTTCCTGTCTGAACAAAAAACACGTGGCTATTAGACTGTGAACACAGACACCAATGTCTCTGAGGGGTTTCATTCCAGACAAACTGAAGAGGATCGACTTGACTGCCAACGAGATCTCGTCCATCGATGATGGGGCCTTTATGGGTCTGCCTGAGCTGGAGGAGCTGATCATTAGAGAAAATCACCTCRGGCAGCTGCCCACTCTCCCAGAGACCATGAAGCTGATTGACGCCAGCCACAACTACATCGGCTCAAAGGGTATTCATAAAGAGGCATTCAAAGTATGTACAACTTCTTCAGAAACACCAGAACTTTTCTTAGACTGGGTGTATGATAGAGTGCGTTTTCCTTTGCAATACAGGACATGACTAGGCTTTTGTATTTGTACCTAACGGACAACAACATTGATTACATCCCAGTGCCGTTTCCAGACAGCCTGCGATCTTTACATCTACAGGTATGTCGCCTTTACATTCATGTGGTACGTCACTCTGAAGCATTTCCATATTTTATACTTTGGGGTCAAGAAATTCTAAGCAYAGCACTCTCTTTTTATTCTGTCGCAGCGAAACAACATTCAAATGATGCACGAGGACACATTCTGCAACCTGAACGACTTTAACTACATCCGGAACGCGCTGGAAGACATCCGCCTGGATGGGAACCCCATCAACCTCAGCAAAACTCCGCAGGCGTACATCTGCCTGCCTCGCATACCCATCGGGAATCTCATTTAACCAAGACTTCCACCCAAATGCAACCACGTGCACACAGATTTGTACATACCTACACACAGACTTAAAAACGAGTTCACAAGCTACAGATGGCAATCACGTGTTTTCAACTTGTCATTCATGCTGCTGACGTAAACCTGCAAAAACTGTGTGTAAACTGTTTTATTATCCGCCAAAAAAAACCACAAAGATTACTACCCATTTCATGACAACCATGCACATATGCACTGCTCTACCTTCTGCCTGGTCTGCAGACGTTTGTCTCAAGCACAGCAGCACACTTGTATATTAAGGTACATCAAAAGCAGACGAGAAATCTCTCAAACCGCTCAACAACTTGATCAAAACGTACGTTATGTTCTGAGTCTTTTTATAGCTCACAATCAATAACCAACTGGTAACGCATTGTTTAAATACGTTTGTTTTGTAAAAATAAAAAAATAAGACTAATCTAACACYTCTGACAATGTATACTAGCATAAATCCGTTGACGCTGGAGCTTAACGAAAGGTAAATTGAATATCTAATACAATAAAACATGCATTTAAACAGAACTGCTGGTTGTACAGTTTGTACTGTAATATAAAAATAGAAATATTCTAATGTTTTTAACATGAACTGCAATAACTGGTAGTCATGCTTTAACCATGTACAATAGCCAACACCGAGAAGTTTATTGTCCATCGACAATCAATAAAAAAACTATTGTTTCTGGGAGGTGAGGTTGTTGTTTTTGGTTCTGGATGGGGTTAAAAATAAGAGCTTGCTGTTGTGTGATCTGAATGGAATAAAAGTGAATAAAGTCATAAAGTCCTCTCCATTCTAGAGAAGGCTCAATGTTTTTATTGAAAACTTTAAAGTGACAGATCCAGTATTTGTGGGGTTTTGTTTCTGACAATCACAGATGTATCTGCAGGGAACCAAAAGTGAAGGTGTAGTTAACTGAAGTAGCAGTTTTATTGCATGTTTTCAATGAGTTTTTCAAACAAAAATCGCACTCTTTCTTTCTTGTTTCCAGCGTCTGAGTCCATCACCTCGCCGTTGTCTTCTGTGGTCTTCTCGTTTTGTGCAGAAATCCTCTCCCATCTCGATTTGTCTTTATCCAGAGCCAAGCGTTCCCTCTGCAAAGCATCTCTGTCCTTTTCGATTGCCGACCTCTCTCTCTCCATCACCGCCCTTTCCCTCTCCATCACCGCCCTCTCCCTCTCCATCGTCACCCTCTCCCTCTCAATCACGGCACGTTCCCTCTCCAGCAAAGTTCGTTCTCGATCCAGGCTGGCGATCTCTCTTTCCAGCGTCGCCCTCTCTTTTTGGAGCAGCTGCTGCTCCCTTTCGTTCGTCTTTGGCTCGCTGTCTTTCCCAGCCACCACAGTTGGTTGGACGCTGTTTATCTCTTCGCGCTTTTCCGGCACAATCACATCCTCCGCMTCCTCCACGTCATCCACGTCTTCCACATCCTCCATTCCGTTTAGCGAAACCTCAATTTCTGGCTCACTAGAAATCCAATTGGTAACAGGAGAGACCTCCACATTTAAGACCTTTTTCCTTTTGGGCCTCGGATAGGGTAAGAAATCATTGTCGTTGCTATTGTGAAGGCTCTCAAGGATGGGGGCCATGCCGTCCAGCCGACCCTCCATGGCGTCGTCCATCAGGGAGAAATGAGCCCATACATCAGAAACTGCTTTCACACCATCTGGAGGATATTTTATCAACTGAGAAAAAAAAATAAAGAGTACAACTTGTAAATTCAATAATAGCTTAAAATATACAACTAATTTAAGTGTATCCCCTAATTTACACTAGAAGTGGTTCCTCTCYGCTGCGCGGTTCACAGCCGTTCGTTTGCAGCCTAAGTCATACAGCGTCCACACCGCTCAGGTGTGGTTCGGCGCGAAGCACGGAGGTGGTCCGAGCAGCATGTGAAAGAAACGTGATCAATCCAGTGATAAATGTGGAATTCAGAGCAAAGATAATTAAGTCTGCGGAACGCATAACCCAAACACAGTTGAAACTGCATCGCTGTTGTCTTTTTGAAACCTGATTTCAAAATAAAATCCATGTGCATCATGTGTGTAAAAAAAAATGCTGCACGCTACATGTATGTTGCCATCGGCCTCCCAAACAGAACAATACCTTTTTTTTATTAGTCTCTATCATCCCGCAGAGGGGAAACTAATTCTGCATTTTACCCATTGCACATGTGAACACAGGTGGAGCGGAGGGCTGCCAATTACAGCACCCGGGGAGCAGCTGAGAGGTTAAGGGCCTTGCTCAAGGGCCCAAAGTGGGGCTGGTTAGTTCTGACAGCTTTTGTGTATGAATATACCCATACATTTAATAATATAACTGGGGTTTCAACAAAATTAGTCTGCCTTTGGTGAATTATTTTGAAAATATAGATGTTGTGCTTGCTCCTGTTTCTTTTCCTGTTGGTGCGACGTGATCTTTGTAGATTGACTGCGGACTAGCAGCTACAGCGTCCAGCAAATATTGGGTTGAATCTAATTTTGGTGGATCGCCGTCTGCTCACCGCTGCCCTGCGGAGCCAATACTCTCATTGATTACGATGGCTGCATATTTGCTGCAGAGGTCAGACAGCAGTGGAGCGGAACCGTATCTAGTGTAAATTAAGGGTAAGAAATGAATGCATGAATTTATTTGTTTAGGACAATGTGCAATTAAAATATAAACATAAAAACATTTGAAGCATTGCACCAGATTTGGCCTAAGGCTAATTTACATATGTAATCCGTACCCTATATTTCTTCTTCATGTTATCCCATTTTTTGGCTGCTTGACGATGGTTCATCTTAAAATGCAATCCCATATGTTTCAGAATAGCTCTGAAAACATAAAAATAACGGATCAGTGACACAAATCTTCAACTTTGCAAAGAAAATGGTAGAAACAGGACTAATAAAATATTATGAAGTGGTTTAAATAAATATATTACACTAAACTGTTCAAAAAAATAAAATTTGTAGTGTAATAACATTTGTGTTATTTTTTTTTTCATTGGATTTAGAAACAAAACTACTATCAAACTATGTTGTTTGGGGTGGACTTTTTCTGTAAATTAGCTGGTATTGAAATGTTTTTTTGTTATGAAATAAACCCCATGTATAAACTGAACTAAATGAAACATATCAGGTATGAATAGTTCGTATATGAAACTTGTTCAGACTTAAAAAATAAATCAAAATGGACACTAAGAAAGATGAAAGTGGGCAAATGTTAAACTATACAAACAAATAACTATGCTAATCTTGATTTGTTGTGTTTCCTTTATTACGATTTTTTTTTTTTTTTTTTTTTTTTTTTTTTTTTTTTTTTGCATGAGAAGATTCCTTTTTCACATACCTCCATCCCCACTTTGAGGTATTTTTTCTTCCAGAGAAGAGGTAATTATTTGCAATCCGCAATTTCACAAACTCCTCGATTTCTTTTCTGCTCACTGTAAGGCAAAAATAGAAAAGCGTTGAATAATATCAAATAAAATCAAGAAAACACGTATCTACTCGTTGTTAAATAAGCATTACTATAAAGTGCGTACATATTTTACTACTTATTTTCAGATGAGCCTAACTAGCTTACACTGGCTTGCCGAGTGACGCCATTAGCTTGTCTTGGTTAAAACTTCCCTATGGAGCGTTCTTGCTAGGAGCTAAGCTAAGTGTTGTTAGCTTCGTAATAACATTTTTTTTCCGTTTTCACTCACTTTTATAGGTGAATTCGGCAGGATTGATTTGGTCAAACACGCCGTTTATGTAGGAGTGATCTTGCTGCTTCGTTACTTCCATTATTTTAGCTAAAATCGGTTTCCCAACCAAGCGCCCTTAATAGGAAGAAGGTTGTTTCTTCTTCCGAAGGTGCCTACATTCTTCTTCGTGGGTTTTATAAAGACACGCGGAGTTGCGGGATCGGAAAGCCTCTCGYCCCCTAGCGTTATGATTCTAAAACAACATGTACATGAGTTGTACTCACATAAAGAAAAAGTATGTAGGATTTGACATATATTTGATTACAAAGAAACGGTCGAAAGTTGAATTATTTATTTGGCTTTATAAGTAGTTGGAGTTATGTGGTGCTTGCACTGAAAATGAGAGTGAGATCAGGACAAAAAGTAAATATACACATTTGTAAGATTTTGGTTGTATGACACAGACTGGCTCACAAATCTTCATATGTAATCTGAGCAGAATCAGTCTTCCGTCCAACCGAAGCACAGGTTGTAATCACGAGGGCGTGTTTTTTTTTTTTTTTTCTGTATCCTTAATAAAGTCTGGCAGAAGAAAGTGAAAGTATTCTAATACAAAAAGTGTCATGGCGTCAGCTTGTGGTAAGTAGGGTTGAATTGTTGTGTTGAAGTAGTTC